TTTTCATTCCTGTGAATCACTTTGGTTATAAAATGGGATTTTTCTGCTAACTAGAAAATGTATCACAGAACTGTTGAAGAGCCTGCTCTCCTTGTGACCCCAGAGCATGCCAGTGGGAGGTATTCCGCGCAGTGGGTGTTCTCATTACAACTTGACATTTTGCCGTTTGGTTTTCTGCCTGTTGCTATTTAATTATTTCAATTCTTTCTTTGCCAGTCCCAGAAGCCATTTAGCAAGCGATGTGCTATTACTGCTACTTAAGAATGCCGACACAATCACTAGGAAAGGAGTTTCATTTCCAGTGTGCACAGCATTACCCCTTGCCATCTGCTCCTGTCATGTCCCTCACTGTCATGTTTCCCCGTTTAACCCTTTGCCCTGCCCTCCTCGCCCAGTGCTCCTGGGGAGGGTGGCAGCCTTGCCTGAACCATAAATACTCTCTGAGGCTAAAACAAACTGCAGGTCACTGTAATGGCAGCGACATGGGTGAAGGTTTGGGATGATGTAAATTGGCATATATTTACTTTGTATAGGCATAGGCAGAAAAATAGAGCAGCCACAGAGAGCATTGCAGGTTTCTGTCCTTAGCCTATTGTTAATCACAAGTGCTTCACAACTCCCATTAGTGTCAGGTCTGGAAGTCTCATTGCTTTTAATGTAAAATCTCAAATAAGACTGCAGAGGGAAACTACTGTACCTTACTGGGAAAATGAAGACATCAAGACTGAGGATGAAATTAATTTCACTGAATTTAATCTACCAAAAAGATAGATTGCCATTGATACTAATCATCCCTCTCTCCCGTGGAGAGACGGCATATCTCCCAAGGCTGATTTACATGACTGTAATCACTGGACAACCCTGACTGTTAAGTGGCACCAAGAGTCCAGATTGAGAAGGATGTTCAGCTTCAGATGAGCTCAGATAGAGTCTGGACAAGTTCATGGTAGCAAAATTCTTTGCAAATTATTAAATCCGTAGCAATAGTGTCTGGCTTGTGAACTGCCTAAGCTGAAAACAGTCACAGGCTGTGAGTTATTAAGGGTATTAAAAACAAAATTCACTTAATAAATTATAAAAAGTTTAATATAAACAAAAGACAATTAGGAGACAAAAGAAATAAAGCAAAGGGTTAAAATGGCCAGGTGCCCTGGCGGGTTGCCAGGAACACACCTGGTATCTTGGGAACACTCTTTTTATCCCCTCCTGCTGTGAGGATTTTATGCATATTCAAAACATGTCCCCTCCCTAGTTCCGCCTTCTTAGAACATGCTTTTGCACAATTTTTATTTTCTGCTGGTCAGCACTGTTTTTGCTGGTCATCATTATTCTTGCTGGTCATCATTATTTTTGCTGACCACCATTATTTTGAGTCTGGTTTCCTTTCTTCTGCAAATGGTAAGTATTGATAACAGTCCGGGCCCCTTATCCTTCCTTTGAGGGCAGCTGGGCTTCATATCTCCTGCTCCTGATAACAGTTTGGGCTCTATTGTTCTCCTGATAACCAGCTTGGGCCCCACTGTCCTTGCCCTCTGGGGTTTCCTTGCCCTGTACCTAGGAAATTCTTTTAAGCTTAAAACTTGTTAGCAAGAAAAAAAGTACGTACATAGCTAAAAAAAGTACATATAATATTCATCTGCGAAAGCCAATATCACAACACAAATTTATAACAAGGGGTAGTATGAGACATGTTTCTCCTGTTGTGCTGTTACTCTGCTAAGCATCTATTTATGGCCACTGTTGGAGCTAACACACAGGGGAGATGGACTTTCTGTCGGACACCACATGGCTGTTCCTCGTGCTCTTATGTGAGGCTACTGTAGCGGTGAGAAGGGAGAGTGCACATTTAGCAAGAGATGATTTTTGCAAATGGGAAATTGGCAGGAAGGTTTACTTCCAGATCTGTGATGAAGTGCTACTGACCTACAAACAGAAAAACTGGAAGTCAGTCTTACAGAAAGAGCCTGTGCGAGGTGCTGAATGTCAGTGCTTTACTCCAGGTCACCTCAAGCCTTTCAGAGATTCAGAGGAGCTGTTTCACCATGTGCTCCCCTCAGATGGTGTAGACAGTTTGTTTGAGCCTTAGACAGTACAAGGAGATTCAGATTTGACATAATTTACGGCGTGCTGTGTAGCTGTGCTGCTACACGGATGCTCCCTGCCTTTGTGACAGCAGCAGGGGAGCTAACAGGGTGGAAGCTTGTCATTTCAAATAACTCATTGAGGGCACACAATGTGTGGCCCAAAACCCAGGTATCAATTACCAGAACAGTGCTTATGACCTCCCACTGTACTGGGCACATGCACATGTGTGTATACTTCTGTACTTGGGATGATTGTTCAGTTTTGAAGGATTTTGCAGAACTGACTGTCCTAAATGCTGATAACCTTAAAATGATTTGCTAAGGAAGCAAGCACCTCTGCTTGAGCATTTTGCTACCAGTATGGTAAATGTATTCCTGTCATTTGCTGCAGAGATCTTTAATTAGAGTCTCTGTAGCTGTTACGTGGCATCATCGCTGCATAAATACACTTCTGTTTGAAGTCAGAACTGCCTTTTATGGCAATCTCTACATAAAAAGAAATTTTGATTAAACTGAGAAATGCTTTACTTATCAAATCGCAAGACATAAAAAAAAGGCTGGTGGAATTGGATTCAAAACATCAAGCTGGGCTTTTGAAATGGAAGGGTTTGCTCTCTTTTAAACCAACACTTTGTGTTGAAACTGCCAGCAAAAATCCTTGATGGAGGGAGAACGTATCAAACTTTACTTTTGCAATTTCCTGCTTGGTTTCTTGTAAACTGCTTTTGTCTAATCATATTTGATATCACAGATAATTTTATTTAATGTGGATTAGGTAGCATGACATATCCACTGTGGTCTTTCATCATTCTCTGTTTAATTTTGAATGTGACATGATATTTTCTAGTACAGATGAAATTTGTTCAGCAGTCAGCTTTGAAAAAGAGCCTGTCTTTTATATCTCTGTAAAACGTTACACATGGCAAGCAGAAACATGACTTCATTCTCGGACTTCTCAAAGTCTTTGGTGCATTCTGTAGATTACAGGCAGTGTAGAGAGCAGAGATAGTTTGTCCTCACATTTCAGCAGCCTCCATAGCACAGCTGCACACAGCCAGAATGGACGTAGTTTGGTTCCAAAGGGAGAGGTTACTGAGAGAATCAAAATGTGATGCAGGAGATGAAGGACTGGGTGCTAAAAGAGGTGATTTTTCAGCTCAGTGGGTATTTGACAGTGCAGTTTAGGGCTGAAGGTATAGCAGCCTTCTGTGATATGCCTGAATGAAGGCAAGGCTTGTTCCTCTGTTACAGGCCAATATAACTCTGGAAGTTAGAGTAGAAGAGAGCCCTATTGAGAAAGGTGAAAAATAATACCAAAACCCCAAAGGCAGTTACTAATAGGGTGTAAAACAGGAGATTATGTCTAAAGGTTGAGGATGACAGCAGCAGTGTGGAAACCACTGTGAGGAAGGAAAAGTTGGCTGGTATTACAGTGAAGGTGTTTCTTAAGGACAATGTTCCCAGACTTTTTTCAGCTTTCCCTGAAGCCCTGGATTCCTACCAGATCTGAAAGGGGAATGTAGGTAGGTTGCACTGATGTCTAGGTTTTACTCATTGCTCAAAATCAAACTGATCATTGATGCCATGATGGAATTTTGGCAGAAAGATTTAGACATATGACTCTGTTTGTTTTTTTTTTAAATCAAATAAATCTGTGGGTTTGGTCTACCTACATACTACAATCCTCACAGAGTCTGGTTGCAGAGCACTGCAGAGACTTGGGGCTTTACCATGCCCATACTGCTGGTGTTTTTTTCAGGATATTCAGAAACATGTGTCCTGAGCATTTATAGATATGTGAAGTGGATGTTCTGCAGCTTTTTCTGAAACAATGTCCTATACTTACAAGAGACCAGGAGCCTGTAATCAGTGAGTCAGGGGAGACTCTTAAAGCTCTGCATTCCTAAACATCCAAGGGACAAGGATGGAAGCAAAAAGCTTTTGTGTGAAGCTTTTTTGGTAATAAATGGTCTTTACTACAGTAGGAATCTTTCTCTTGCCTGAATGAGGAAACCGATCATTTGCAGAAGGATGTAATTTTATACCACTATGTAGAGGTAGAATAGTTCTTGAACCCTAAAGAATATGTGTTGTGATGTAGAATGAAGTTGGGAAGACAATTAGAGCATGTAAAAGGACAAGGTTAAACAGTTTCTTCTTCCTTTATCTTTCGCATAGTGTATTGAATAATTGTTACCTTACCCAGAACATTTTCTGATACTGCTGAGAAATCTAAGAGCACTAAAGAAACGTTGCCCTTTCCAGCAGGAGAAGTCTTGTATAGGAAAACTTTTGGAAATCTGCCATTGTGATGGAGCCTTTCAAAATCCAGTTTGAAGCTTTCCATTGTATTGATTTATAAATCCTGGATTGTTGCAGTGGTGCGTTTTGCAAGTGAAGTTAGTGCACTGAGTACACTCCACCTCTTTTACAGTAAGAACTTCTTACATGATCTCTACATAAACCAAGAGTTTGCTTCTGAGTGATACATAAGAGGAGAACAAATTCTCTTCAGGTTCTTACTGTGCTTCTGCAATGTCTTGTGGTGACACAATACCTTTACTGGTAGTCACAAAACAATCCTGTTGCTATCAGCTCAGGTTCTGGTATGTGAGTGCTTTGTGTATATGGCTATCTCTTCTAAATGCATATGATTACTTAGGCTGACTTGAAGCCTGCACATTAGCTCTTCTGTATATTGCATGTATTAAATGTAGGTTTTCTTCAATAATATTGATTCCAACAGAAATGGGAGAAATATCATAGTGTGTGATATTCCTGACAGGTTAGCACCATGTACATGAAATCTCAGTAATTTTGCAAGTTAGCTAATGGTTGGTCTTTCATAATGACTTTGAGACAATGAAAAAGCAGATAATAGCTTTCAGTCTGATTTTGCCATGTTCTTTTTCACAGCTTCCTGTTATGGGAGGAGCCTTTATGGACTCACCCAACGAGGACTTTAGTACAGAGTACTCCCTGTTTAACTCATCAGCCAACGTCCATGCAGCTTCTTCCATGCAGAATCCACCAGAAGAGACATCTCGTTCTTCAAATGATGCCATATTGTTATGGATTGCAATAATAGCAACAATTGGAAATATTGTGGTTGTGGGAGTGGTGTATGCCTTCACCTTCTAGGATGACTGTCACTACAAACACTGGAAGAAAGGAAATCTTCAACAGTATTTGTCATGTGTATGTATGTGTGTATATATATACATGTATATCTATATAAATACATAGAAGTAGAGACTTTGTTGATTAAGTGCTGCTACAATCATGGAAATGATGCAAGTTAATCATCCTAAGTCTTGATGGCAGAAAGTTTGGATGCAAATTGTTTGGAGGTGAGAGTTTTATTTGAGAACAGAGCCAATACCAGTTTTGTATAGAAATGTAATGAAAGAGAGATCAACTTGGGTATAGTTGTATACAGAGAGATACACAGAGAAATACAGAGAGATATTTATATAGAAAGTGATTATTTTCTACTGTAGATTTTTCTAGCAGCTCTTCTGCAGTTTGTCAGTTTTTGGGTTTTTTTGGTGCATTTTTTACTGTGGTATAATGTTATATGGGACTGTTCCAGGTCATGTTTTCTGGACATTTTCGTTTCCTAGATGGACCAAGTGGTTGGCATTGGCTCGGTTCTGATGAAGGCCAAGTTCATCATGTGTGAGTCTTCAGCGTGGCTGTAGACTCCTGGGCTGTGTTCAAAATCATGAGTCTCAAGCAATGACAGGCAGATGCAGGCTGTCTATTACTTGCCCTCCAGGATCAGTAACTGGAGCTGGTACTCAATAATGTGATGCTGAACCTGCCTGCTGTTCAGGAGAAGGCACAGCTATTGCTGCTCTGCAGACCCTCTGAATTTCAAAGGAGAAAATGATAAACAGAGTAGCAGCACAAGTTCCCATTTCTGTCTAGAGGTACTGGATTGCTGTGGTTTGTATATGTGTCCCTTCCAGGAAGCAAAAGCCCAATACCACACTTTTCATCTCATTGGACTGCAATCCAGATTTCTTACAGCGGCTGTGTACTTTCATAAAGTTATTAATGTACTAAAAGAATGATGGGAAAATTGTGAAGCCTAATTAGTAGTGAATATGTCTGTGAGAAAGATAAAACTGAAAGAAAGGTTGGGCACTTCTGTGCTTTTGTGGGAATGAATTCAAGAGTCAGGTATGTCCTGGGGTAGAAACAACACAAGAAAAGTAGTAATTGTCAAATGTGCAAGTGCTTATATCTCAGTATTAATATATCTTTGGGTTCTGGTGAGGGTCTTGGAAGTGATTTTTTTATAGCTGGCTTTAGGTAATGACTCTGATTATCCTTTGGATTTGTTCCACTGAGAGGCAACATTTTTACTACATTTTTTCCATGGGCACTTCATTTTCAAGAGCTGTTTCTTTCTCAAGACAAGCTGTAGTCTTCCTTGCTTGAGAGACTGTAAAATCTTGAGACAAAAAAGAAAAGGCTGTTGGAAATCTGCCTTCACACCTGTAAAAATTAAGTAACAATACATAAAATGTATGTACTTTGAGAGCAGCAGACAAATTCTTCTTCTATGTCTGCATATACCGTCTAGGTTTTCTGTCTCATATAGCTACTACCCTAATTCCAGAAAGCCTTGTCTGCAGGCACAGAGACTATTTTTGACACTTGCCTGCCACTGAGCTTGAGGCTGAGCTAAGAGCTGCTGAATGTATAGAGAGGTTTGGATTTTTGTCTTTTCTCTTTAAACCCATTTTCCTGCAGGGCTGGTGGACAGTTATTTAAATCAAAGAAGCATGCCCCAAATCAGTACTTAAAACCAGTCACTGTCTATATTTTTTCCTTCTCTATGAACTGTCCTTTAAAGCTAGGAGAGATGCAAACAGAGCTAGCAATGGGGAGAAAAGAAATTAGGTTATTTTGAGGCTGAGAAAAACAATTATGAGCTTCTGTGCATGTTGTTATTTTCCTATTTGAAGGCAGGATTTTGTGAAGATGGTTGAGGACAGACAAGACCTATACTGGGAAAAAGTTTGAGAAGCCCAGTTCTGAAAGATCAAAGGGAAAGAAAGCAAATTCTGTCCAATAAAATAACTGTAGTCTTAAGAATTATAGAAAAATTGTGATTTTAATTTCCTAAAATAACTATTAATTCCTTCATAGCCACAGGACAATGAAAAGCAGGGGAGCTGCATAAATGGTGCACCATGTTTGTTTTTGCACCCCTCCTTATTCTTGCTGAGTAGAAAAGAAGATGTTGGAAAGCTGCAGAGAAGTTTCCAGTGAAGAATTGAGCAGGACAAGGTCTGGTGTGCAAACATGTAGGATCCATGAAAATACTGCTTAATGTAATGTACTGTCCCCAACCATTTTCTGATATTCTGTTGCCTTTGTAATTGTAGCAGTTACTCACGGACTTTTCTTCACTGTTCCTGCAGGCTGTCTAGTTAGGCCAGATCCTGCAAGCATTTTTGCATAAAGAGAAAAACATTTCCACCATGACTAAAACCAGTTTGACACGATGGTACTTGCCCAGTGGGATTATTCTGCTGTCTAATGAATTTGCCAGTGGAGTGCTTTGCTTAAATTTCCTAGAATATTAATCTTAGTGCAATTAGCAATGTTTACATCTCTCTCCCAGAGCACTGGACTAAACTCTTCAACCATGAAGAAAAGCATTAGAGTGGGAACAGCAAAGGACCACTATTCTGCCAGTGAAACCAAGTGACACTTTTGTGTTGCTTTTCCCAAAGAAAATGCCCTACTTTCATGTGAAAATAGTAATAGTAATAGAATAGTAATAGCAGGAGCATTGGAAAACAATGAGTTCCACCTCCTGCATCCAAATCATCATCATACATATTTTCATTGTTAGAGGCTGTGTTGTCAAGAAGGGCCAGACAAAACTTTAAATTAAGTAATTGGCTTGACAGGGTGACATGGCAAGCTGGGTGTAAGCAGCAAGTGCAGGCATTTCCTGCCTCAAACTGCACACTAACTGTACAGCTTCTCTGTCAGGAGAAAAAGTTAGTTTTAGGATGCAGGTACAAGGATACTGCATGTGAGGGTCTGTGTGGGATATTGTCAGGTGTATTGAAGATTCATAAATTGCAGTGGCCAGAGCTTGTTCAAGCTCTGATCTACTTTGATAGTGACAACATGCACACTATATTTCTGGATGTTGTGCTCTGGCTATGTTGACTACAACCACTTTTGTCTTCTAGGAGGTTAGTGAAGGTTTAAATCAAACCATTGAAAAGGGGCTCATCATCAAGTTCAGAGAAGCTAGAGGGGAATGGAGCAGTGGCTGAGTGGTGGATGTTTCACAGGCATGGTCCTGTGAATTATGTTGCCTCTCAAGCTGTCAACACAGCTTGACTTGGAGGACTGTAGTTTCTCCTTTCCTTGGAGCCAGGCAGCTGGATAATTGATGTCACTCACTGAGGAGTGATGAGAAAGCCCAAACACATTTCCCAGAGCTGTTTTCTGAAGCCTTTCTTTAAAAGAACAGGGTTCTGTGCTTTGCTGAGAACTTTGTGTATCAGCCTGAGAAAAAGATTCCACTTGATCAGTGCTTCAATTAAAACTGTCTAGCACAGAGAGCAGTTAGACAATCCTGACTACAGTTCATTCCGTGGCAGATGAAGCAAACCACTTTCTAAATGCTCTACCTCTAGAGGTGTTTTACCTCCAGCTCTGTTGTGTAACCTCATTGTACAAACACAAGAAGCACCTTTGCCCTGCAAAATTACCGATGAGCCAACAGCCTAGGGTGCCCTAATGATTCTCTTTTAGGCCTCTAGAGATCTGTGGCAACATATCAAATAATCAAACTCCCTCTAAAGAATTTCTTTTTTTCTCAAAGCAGCCAGCAGCTCGACACAGCAGCTGTGCAGCCACCATAGCAAAGAGACTAAAGGCTGAACAATTATTCAGGTGGGTGCAATGGCACATTAGAAAGGAGAACTGAGTGGGCAAACCCACACAGATATTCCTGCTGTATTTTAATCTGCAAGTAGGAGTCTGTGCTTGCCCACAGCATTAGCACCCTGTATTTCTTGTCAACACACTTGAGAAACTGAAAAACTGATTTTGAAACTGATGCAACAATAGTAGCAGAGAGACTCATCTGCTACAAATAATGTAGTTAGCCTTTTCAGTGGGCAGATGAGGTCATGGATATCTCAGAAGTAATGAGATCCCTGCTCCAAAATCCTCACTGGCAATAGGACTTCAGGCCACTTAGCATCCCACCCAACTGCTGAGCAGACTGTAATAACCAGTCCCAAATCAAGACTGAATAGAAGCATCCAGCCATTACTGTCTTACCTGTACAGCCATTTGAACATAAAAGACAAAATACACCTTTGTGTCTGGGACCAAATGAAAACAGGAGCCTCTAGTCTATGGATATGTATTTTTTCTATTATTAAAAGCTTATTTTGCTATTCTCAAGCAATTCCAGTTGTTAATATCCTCTTCACATTTCTCTGCAGGCTGCTGAGAGTTATTAATTTCATGTAGCACTGTCCATTTATTCAAGGTAATTTGACTGAGTTTCCTGTGGCTAATCACAGAGTAGAATCTGGAAAATTGCTCTTTTTAAAGGTGATTTTCTTTTGAGGTAAATAGACTACAGATGAGAATCAGATCAAAAGGCATCTGTGCTTTTAGAACATTCGGAGCTCTGGAGAATTGGATTTCATGTGGTTAGTGCACAGGAAGGAAAGGGCAGTGAGGTCCCTGGTGATAATGTCAGCCATGAGGGTTCTGACAGGCAGAGCTGAGTGGTTCATTAGCTGCTGCTCTGTCCCTCTGAGCCCTGCTGGCTTCCTGGACACACAGCCAGAGCTGAGTGTGAGCTAAACACCAGGTACAGCATGTCCCTCCTCACCTCACAGCCTGATAATCCTCAGGGAAACAAGCACATTTGTTCCATTCACAGAGAAGAGCCAGAGATCAATATGCTGTTAGCTATGTTACTGGTACATTGTTCAGTCACCATAAGGTCAAATTAACCTGCATTTAGCCCTTTACCCCTTGTCTAGGAAAGCAGTTAAGGCATCCTGAGCCTTATAGTCTCCTCCTGTCCTTAATCTGACACTGACTTTTTGTGTTTTCCTCATGCAACCTATCCTTGCCTTTTACCTCGTCTTTTCCACTCAAAAATGCTCTCCTCTGGACATGTAGGGAACTCCTAGCAGCTATGGACCAGTCATGTCCCATTTTAGTTTGTGGTCCTTCAGGCACAAAGGAGGAAGAAAGTGTCCAGTTACCTATATAAGCAGTTCCAGGGAAATACTTGCCTTTGCAGAACAAAATGCATGACAATTTTATCACATTCTGACCTGTCCCAGCGCATTTACACTGAAGCAACATGGCCAGATCTACTTTTGCTGGTTTGGAAATTACAGCAATGCAGCCAGGAACTGGAAAAGAAAACCCTGGTAACACAAACATGTCACAATCCTCTCAAGGACATGTCTCTGAAGGCCATTTTTCCTGAGTGACATGGGCAGACTTGAGCTGTTGGTATCAAGGCAAGTTCCCTTTTGTGTGAGCACAAATAGTTTCCTTCTCTTTGGGAAATTTTGGGAACATTGTGCCACCCATTCTGTCTTTCCCAGGCTACTATTTTCAGTTGTAGAAAACACTCTAAAAGGTTCCTGTGTTGGTAGAATACATAGAAAATTTACCTCCCAAAGCTTTGCTTAGTCTTCCTGCAAAAGCAAAAACCACCCTATTTTCTCAAGCATGGAATGTTCATGAATCAAGTATTATCTGTACAGTAGCATTGTCTCATTTTAATCTTCATTTTTTTGCCAGTAGGTCTCAAAGGAGATCTTACTATTATCCAGACTTTAAAGATGCTGAGAACAGAAGCAAGCAAGAGACTCACAGAACGTCTTCAAAGTCACTGCCCAGTCCTTAGTCCATATCATTCTTCATTCTTCCCCATATTGCCCTGATGTGAACTCACATCCATCTCTTTAAACTCACTGTCACCATCACATTGTCTCTATGCCTTCATTTTATTTCTCCCCTTGTCTTTGCTATACTCTTTACATTCCTTGGTATCAGAGCACGTGAGCATTTGGAAGCCAGCAGTATTCTTCAGCCTGTTTTAGCCAGCTCCTTGGCTGACCTCTGAGAGTAAGGTTAGTGATCAGCAAGGACATTCCACAGTGAGGGCAAAGAACACAAGATCTCTTCATGGGAAAAGATCTTAATCATCATCTGCCTTAGCAAACCACAAAGTGTTTCCCCTAAGCACAAGAGCAAGACGTGGCCATGAAGTTTTGTAGCTGTATCCATACAATGCAAAGTTACCTTTCAAAAACTCAGACCTTAAAATAAACTGCACTGTTCTACAGCCATCATTTAGTGAGCTTTTCCCAACCCAAAATCCTTTGTTTTTTTAGCAGCTCAGAATCAGTGATAGTGCTCTTGGGGTAAGGTGAGGGCAGCGGGAGCGGGCCCAAAGGAGAATGGAAAAGCTCCCTGTGATTTCCTGTGGGGTCAGGGCCATTAAAGAGCAGCCTATTCAGTAAAGAAAAACAGCCATGGTGTGCTAAACCATTTCAAATCTAGTCACACCTGCAGTTCTCAGATGCACAGCCAAGCTGCTATAGCCAGACTGAGCATTTAGAAATCTCATTGTACACTAAATACAGTGCATTCTTTTGCCAGAACTGAGGGAGCTGTGTAGCCCTGTGGTCTGGGAGCTTCCTGAGCTCAGTGATACCGCATTTCCTGAGGAGTTCACTCCCACTAATGAACAAATAAGGTCGAACTGTTTCAGGTCTAGGCCTGGAACCCGTCTCAGTTGCTGCCTCCATAAGAATGATCTAAGTTCCTGAGCCTGCACGCTGCTGTATCCAGAGGGACCTTTGCCTCCACCTGGAGTCAACTGCATTAATAACACTTCTTCTAGACTTCTGATATCTGCTTCACTGGATCAGTTTGCAGGACTAGCTGTGGCTTGCTGGGGTTTTCTTTTAAATGTAAAGATATTTGTAATTTCCTAATCAAAAGCAAGAAAGAAAGAAGAATGCTGTATTTTTTTAAATGAGCAGGTAATAAAACCGAGTCTGAATATTTTGATAGATGTGCTGGAAGGGTATATAATGTAGCAAACAGTTGCACTATTTTTTCCTAGTATGAGTACCTAAACTGAGAAATACTTGTTTTTCTCTGAGTCCTTTGCCAGTTCTGAAGTTCAGCAGTTTAGAAGGAGTGGAGTACAAAGTCTCAGTGAAATGTGAAGCTTATGTATGTATGTAAATAAATCTGGTACTTAGCTTTGTGAGGTAGCCTATTATGTTTGTTTTTCAGTTATCTCAAATACTGCCTAATTATTTGGGGCTTCTTACCCCCCAAAAAAAAGCTAAATGGTGACATTTTTGAAAGCATCTGTGCTTCACACAAAGTCACAGTTATATGGAAATTATATTCTTCAGTTCATGTAAAGCAGCTTTACAGGAGCCCTTTAGTATGCACTGTTACTTTTTCTTAATAATCCTGGACAATTTAATTCTCTTGTGCTTTCTCTCTGCTACCTTGTTTTGTACACTATCAGGTTTGCAGGAATTCTCTGTATTGTTTTTGTAATACATGGGTTGGTTTCTAGAAAAACCTTTACTGTTGTAATCATTGTTCTTGGATTGTGGAGCTCTATCTGTAAAGAAAAAACAACTTTAAAAATGCCCTCTGCTTTCTCCAAGTTTACTGTAACTAGCAAATTTAGTTAAGAGAAATGTATTCTTTTAAGCTCCTGTTATGTTCTTTTCCAATTACTGACTGCTTTCACTGTGTGTGTACTTAGCACTGGTTCATTCCTTTACTATGGTGAAAATGACAAGTTTTGTTAATATAAGATGGAAATTGTGGTTTTGGATAAAGTTCTTCAAATTGATAATGGTGTGTGATTTTTCATTTTGTTATCAGTTTACTTGGGGTGAACTTTAAAAGACTGGAATTGCAGTTATTTAATTATTACCTCCAGTGATACTCTGACACTGGTAATTTATTGCAGTTTACAAATCTGCATGGTTTGGTGGCCTTGGGAGCTATCTCTGTTAATATATGGCATGGAATATGTGAATATTCCATTACATTCCATAACATGAATATATGGCACTGTGGCTATTTCTACAGAAACTCATTTACCAGCTCTCAAAGTCCAGGAAGTGCCACAACACATCTGGGAGCCCAAAAAAGAAAAGTC